CAAAACGTGGTATCTAATTAATTTAATCTTGTTAAACAACAGGCAAGTTTTATGTGTCATACTCCTATATAGTTGCCCACAGACCAAAAAGGGCTATCTTTTGACTTGAATAATAACAACAGTAGAGAAAACATGGCAACAAAGTTTATTACACACCTGGACCATTAGCAGCATCTCACATAGTGTCCCACTTCCTTTCCGCAACACCTCATCAGGTGACATAGGTATTATGGTCGCAAGGGAGAAGATAAACGGATGGACATAAGTCATGTATAAGTAGTATGTGGCAACAGCATCTGATACAGAATAAGAAGCCATTGTCTGAAAATGAGACAATGCAAGGTAAAATGAGTAGCAGTGTCATTTCAGGTCAAGTGGTGACAAGTACATTTTAAACAACAATATAGACAAGCAGCAGTATTCATGGTTAGTTTTCATGTAACCATTTGCACTTCAGCTACTTCTCAAATGACAAAAGTTACCCCATCACCAAGACAGGTAGCCTAGAGATACCTGCGGCTGCTCCATTGCAAAGCGAACCATATCTTCTGGATTGACCTCCAGAGGATCATAACCAAGCTTGGCTTTTGTAACAGCCTGTAAATGTCAAAATGGAAGGAAAGTCACTATATAAATGCAAAAGCAACATATTTAGAATAAGAAAGATAACAGGCAAATAAAGCCATCTACAACGGCAACAGTTCGGATTTTGCTAGCTACGTGGATATCATCCAGTGGGGCACGGGTGAGAGCACCAGCCAGAGATAACGGACTCCAGACGATTCTACCAGACATTGTTCAGTTTCTCTTCTTATCAATGCAACAAGATGCAAGGGTTTTTGCGTTTTCTCAGAAAATAGAAAATAATGCAAGAAAAAATCAGGCAATAAAAAAAGGTTAAATGACTAATGCTAACCTTTTAATGCTAGTTCAATACCCAAACTTCAAATTTTCATAGCATTTTCAAAACTCAAGTTTGACAAATCATTTAGTACCAAAAGCATAGAGATCTTGAATTTAGAGTATTTTTCTTTCAGTAAGTAAAGTATCACCTTTAGACCTTGGCTTCCCTGTGGAAGGTAACTGTCTCGCTTCACCCAGGCAAAACAGTCAAGATGACAGGAAAATTTAGCTCGGCATTCACCTTGATTACTGTCGCATTGGAAACCAATCTCCTGTAAGAACAAAATAGGAAACACAAAAATGAAAACACAGTTTTCCATTCCAACAATTTTCCTCAAAATCTAGACAAAGGACAAATTATAAAACATATGTACTACAAAGGGAGTACATAATTTCCCTCTGTAAACTAATATAAGATTGTTTAGACCACTACGAGTACATAATATTCCTTGAAACGTTACAGAAGACACTACCATGCTACTGACACTATCCCAGTCTTGTGAACTTTCCCATTTAGCTGCAGAAGTGCATATGACTTTTTACAGATAACTTTATTTGCATGCAACTGTTTGGCCAAGATTGTGAGCATTCTACTACATAATTTATCATATCATATGCTACATGAGTCATACCAAAAGCAACAATTGTCTGCTAAATTAAGGAGAAATTATCAGCATAGAGCATACCTCATTCATTTTTATGCCATGGTGGGCAGCTCTCTTCTCCAAAAACGGCCAGTCAAAAAAGTCACCGTTGTACGTAACATAAATACCAGGTTTAACCTCTTGCATGTGAGAAAACCAAGCTTTAAGTAGACCCACCTACAAATATAAAATATGAAGAAAAAAATGAACAAATTAGCTACCATGCTGAAAAATGCATATGCCACTGGACATAATATGCAAAAGTTCATACCTCGTCTGCGACATTCTTAACTCTAAAATGTCCCTCGAATTCTGGTTTAGGTGTGTATTCCAAATCTTCAATATCTTCCCCTACACACTACAAATAAAATAATATGTTATGCAAAACCTATTTTAAGGGAGAAAAACCATATGGTTCTTGCAAGCACAATCAAGAACAGTAGGTTCAGCTAAGTTAATGATCTAACTGTTATATGTATGTAGAAGTTGATTCTTAAGTATGCATCTGGTGGTTAATGCACATGACAGCTTCTTGGATTCCCCTTGGCAATTGCCATCTTTTTTAACATGGAAATAACGTTTTTATAAAGTTTTTTTTCCCAGAGGAGGAGAACTGGAGAATTGCATGTTGCTTCAAACGAACAGAAAGTAAACGGCATACAGACATGCCAGGTAACTGATGCTGTCCAAGACTAGGCAATAAATTGAACACAATAAAGTGGACAAGTCATAAATAACTATAGCACAAACAAGACAATTCGCACCTCTCGGTTGATTATCAAGTACCCTTGCCCATCAATCATGTAGGAGATCATCATTACACTGTCGTATTCGGCATCTGGAAACTTCAAGGGAAGCTTTGTGGTCTCAATATCAAATGCACATACATGAACTTCTGCACGCTGAAGCAGATCTTCCCTTCTCTGAAGCAAAACATCAGAACCAGATACACCAACATTATACCACTGTCCAGATCTCACATCTGCGAAGAGGTTCAATGCAGAATAAATAGTGTCAGTTCCTCGGTGTTATATTAGCACATGCTTAAAAAACAAGACTTGCAAACTTTAGCCTCACCATTATCTATAGCGAAACGAACATGATAGGGAACATCGTATTCACGCAAATCGATGATGCAGTTTATGTAATCTTGTGGCCTTTCTACCCTGTTAGATCAACAAACAATAGGTTAACAATAAATGCAAAATATGCATAATACATAAAAACATGGAAAGGATACACAGTAATATTAACCCCATAGAAACAAAACATAACTGGGGAACAGCAAAACAGGAGCCATTTAATGCAGGGTACCTTTTTACACCATAAATTGATTCAAATGCATCCACAGCATCTCTTTCTTCTTCATTCTTTTCAACAACATGCATTAGATCACTCCTCACACGCATTAATTGCTGCACGGTATCGAACTGAATCTTCAAATATTTTCTCTTCAAACCAGAAAGATGGTTTTTCTGCAACAGGAAGACGCAGAAAGACGGGGTGTTAAAATTGTCTGCTACATTCAGCCCAGCAAAATATAGATGACGAAAAATTACACACGTGCATGCGAGCATTGGCACCTTTGTGGAGTCATAGTAGGGACAGTCAGCAGAAGTACAAAACAATAACAGATAAACTTAACATATTGCAACTAGCTTGTCCGTTGGTTCAATTTAAGTAAACTACATAGCACTTAGCGTGTGAACCTCACTCTACTGTAACAAGCAACTAAGGTAAGAAAAAAGGACCCCAATGGAACCTGAACATAGAATCCAACTCATCACAATGATTGCATTTTCTGATGCATACAAAATGATATACTGAATTAAGCATGCACATTAAGGCACTTACAAGATCCAGATCCTCTTTTTCAATTATTTCTATATCAGCAATTTCCCCTTCATAACGTCGCCTGAGATACGCCTCAACTTCCAACTCCGTCTTCTCCTGAACATTTCAATTCACAAAAATAGAATATCAGCCAAGAAACAGACTCGGCAGGAAAGTTCACAGAAAAATTGTGAGTGTTACATCTATATAAATACTTTGATGGGATAAGAGAACAGATCCCTCAGAAAACCTTAAGCTCACCTTAGTTGCAGCATAAAAATAAGGTGGGAATTTGTACTTCACTTTAAATGTAGAACCATCCTGCAAGAAAGCGTAAACAATTAGACATGGCAGGTCAAACAGTGTTTTTTTTGCGAGATGGTCAAACAGTACTACTGTAGTTGCATTTTGTTTACCTGGGACACAAAGTACAGGTCAACACAGCTGTAGATTTTCCCTGTATCCTCGTCCTCCCACGATGACTGCAGGTGTTATTGCAGTGTAAGAAATCACATAAGAAAGCCACTCACTCATTAGATTTAGCAAATTGTAAGCCAGTAGCTCTTGACCTTCAACTAAGCGTCTCCGAGTAGGTTCTACCATGTGTTTGATTCGTTCAGAATATAGATGGGCCTGTATTAGGCAAATCATTTTATTCGAGATGGATGGAGATTTTTGGCGTTTTTCCAGGTCCTACTCTATATGGCAGCAGCATTATCTTGCTTTTCAGAGATTGTATCAGTTAATTCACTTGTATAATGCACAAATTTTTGCTGTTGAAAAAAAGCTGCTCATTCTTGTGGAACCATGGAGATTCTGCAGCTTCAAGTAATTTCCTTGTTACTTTAAGTTGCAGTCGGGGACAACGTTTCACAATACCGACAATAGCAGCAGATTCACCACCCAACACTATGAACTTTTAGTGCAAAAAATTAGATAATGGAAGCAAACAATTCCTTCCGTGATCTCACACTCTGCATTACCTGGGTGGTCTAAACACCCTACTGATCTGTCAATTTCTCAAGCGATTGCGCTTGAAATGAGAAGCATTTCACAGCATCTGCAGAATTCAGCTGCTAATTCCACAATACAATCGACGCGAAATTGAAGCTAGAGCAGCGAGATCGAGAGGGAACTCACGGGGGAGAAGGTGAGGAGCCAGCCAAGCCGGCGGTCGCCTTGGGTGTAGGGCGCGAAGCCAAGCCGGCCCTCGAGGAGCTCCTCCGCGCCCAGCCGTACCCGCTGCTCCTTTGCCGCCGAAGATCCAGACCTCCGACCGCCCCAGCTGCCGCCGCCGCCACCTCCACCTCCTCCGGCCGACGGTCTCCGTCGCCGGCCATCACCACCGCCCATACTCGGCTGCCCTCAGTAAGCTGGGGAGAG